TAAAGTTTCTAGATTCAGTGAACAGCTAAAAGCTATGAAAAGGTGACTGAATTCGAAATTACTTGGTTCTCTTTGTCTAGAGAGCTTTAAAAGTCAAGAACAGTAAAGCAAAAAATGGACGGGACGGACAGCCGAAACTTCCGAAAAACGACCCTGATTACCCGGGAAAACGGTACGAAACGGCCACGGCCGAAACGTCCAAAATAGGGCCCTCATCAACGGGTATGTGGCAAGAGAATCGTAATTCGTTGCGCCAGTGGGCGTCGCGTGCGACGTCGCGCCCGCTAATGACGACAAAGTGGTATCTGTTGAGAATTGACAATGGCCAAAAGTAGACATAAATGTCTATCGTGTCCTTGTCTACATTAAATCCAATGCTCCAATCGAAAGGGTAATGCAAATCAAGAGAATGTCGCGTCCATTGCCGCGCGCGACAAAGCGGCAATTTACGATTCTCTTGTACGTCTCCCCAAATCAACCGAGCAAAAGCGGGACGAAATGGCCCCTGCCGAAACGTCTGAATTAGAGCCCTTGACCGCTCTAATCAGGAAGTAGACGAGCATGCCTGAGATCAGTCATCGCTAGTTAACGATCAAGGGGAAAAGTCACAGCGACTGCAAAGTACGGCTGATGTCATCGAAATCATTCGGATTGAAGAGGGATGGAATGAGCCTAACGAGCAAATAGATCTTCATGTCCAGCGTATATCAGGCCGAAATAGTGCACCAGTTTTTGCTAAAGGTTTATTCAGAATCCTTGGAAGCGAAAAACGAAAGTCGTGGCTATAACAAAAATATGTTCATAATGCGTAGGTGTTGCAGCCGCTACGAAGGCGAAGCCGATGGATCCATCGCGACCGACTTCGACGGCGGAGAAGCAGAGCAGGACCGATGTTCGATCGGACAACACCGCAATGTCCCATTCAGCACGTACTCATGAAACAAAAACAACCGCTTCGAAGGATGTTAGCAAAACAATGGAGAATCGAAGAAAACTGCTGAACTGTCTGTATCAGAATGGAAAACCTTAGGCTCCTCGCATAAACAAGTACAACAACAGAAGACAGTAGAGTATGTTGCTAGTCTACACAAGTTAGCTTAAAATGAGCAGCAGTCAGCATGGACCCGTTCCTCCTTGAAGTGTGCCATAACGGCACGTTGTACGTTGGAGATCCCCAGGGAGGGCGGGGAGAGGGTCGTATTCGATTCGCTGGTTGAAAGAAGGTCGCGTCAGCCTTTGTGGATAGGTTACTGACTTTTCTCGGGTTTTCCCGTTCCATGTGCGCTGGTCTTACCGTCTCAGTATACTTGTCAGACGCGGAGCCTTTGTCCTCCCTCTTTTCTTTTCCTCTCTCTTCCTCCTTTCCTTCTCTCTTCCCTCTTCCTTCTCCTTCTCCCTTCAAACGCTCGACCATTAGGCGCGACCAGAAAATACCTCTGGGCCCTCGCAGCGAGAAAATGTTTGGTCAACAGAAGCCGTGTAACCGCGCTCATCCCACCCACCCGTTCGACGATGTTTTGGCGGAGTACGGGAAACAAGTAGCAGAAAGTTGGAGGAATGTTGGGAGATGATAGGTAACATGACGGATGGGGAAGGACAGGGGTCATACCAAAGGAGGAAACTTTGAGGGGTATGGGTCGTATTTTGCTAAATTTTTCCCTAACGGCAGGAAGTGCCGCTTGCTATGATACTACTTGCCCCTCCAATTCCATATGACCGCAGTGCGAGTGACCGATTCCCAATATTTAGGAAGAAAGATGAGTTGCCAAATGCCGAAGCAAAATCAGAACGGATGATACTCTTGGAGCAAAGCATGCGTAGTTGCCCTGTAGGAGTGGCAAGAACTCCTGTAGAGAAACTGGTAGAATAGTTTGAAATAATATAGCGAGTTGAATCCCGAAATTTCAAGCATATAATGTTCAGAGCTCACCACAACGGATTCTCAGATCTGTATGGGAGGTAGTCGCTGCTCCTTACACAGCAAAAGTCCTCTCTTTTCGCACTACTTCTCTGCCTCAACTCGGTTTCAAGATCGAGCTCTGCGCCAAGGGAAGGAGCCAGCTTGCAATTTGAAGACAGACTCTACACTCATCTTCCATGGATCCTTGTACCTCCCGTATGTGGGGTGAATGGACCCGCAGCTGCGCCCAACTTGTCTGTGTCCTCTCACTTCTGATTGCTCCCTAAGGCTGAGTACGTGTTTCGTTGCGGAATCTTGGCATCGAGGCAAAACATCACCCTGAGGATAGCGCGGGCGGATTATGGAGACCCTCGGGTATCACTACCCTGATTTATTGCAGCTGCTGTAGGCGCGTACGCCTCCATATTGCAAAGTTCGTCGGAGGTGGGTGTACACTGTGCCTTCAAGGGCCTGTGAACCTTGGTGGGTTTGCATGTTCAGATCGTCATTCATCACGCTTTGGGCGCCTTTATTCACATTAGATTGCGATTGAAGAGCTTGGAGAGTTTTTTTTTTCAGGAGCTCGAGAAGGAGGAATGGTATCATGGAATGATACCAATTGAAGACGTAAAAACAATATTACATGAGGATGGCGACTTTATAGTAAGAAAAGCGGAACACGAGATGAAGTCAAATCCGGTTTGCAATTGTCCTTTCTTAAAGTTCACGATATCATTCTGGTCAATCACAGTCTTCATAGTTGTCAGATTTACTCACTTTTTTGAGCTCAGTGAGCCCATTAGTCCTCTTGCCACTTCCTAACTGCGAGATTTTGCGATTTATATTCTCCAGCGGACTAGATTACGGTAGATCCCACCGCACCAGAACATGCAGTTCAAAAATGAAAGTTCGATTGCTAGGTGACTTTCAAGTTGAAGGCACTGTACGCTCACTTCCAAGGGCAATCCCCGCCGGGAGAAGAGAGTACGGGGAGAACGGAATGGCAGCTATACAGCTGTATAAGGCTCACACGTTCGACCCTCGAAAAGTGCAGAAATGAGAGTGGAGGGTAGCGGTAACCCTAACCCAATACTGTTTCCATCTCTGCCTGCGCTGCCCTCAATATGAAGCAATAACGTCCATGACGAAACCTGGCAGTAAACTTTCGCAGAAAATAGAGAACAACAAATGGTGAGAGAGCGCAAACAAGTAGCGTGTTTGGCTATAGTTAGGCGTGTGGCTGGCCGTGCCGCATATGACGTATCTGCGCGCTTTGCGTGCTGGAGAAGACTCTTCGAGAGGAAGCTAAAAGCAGACGGAAGGCAACCAAATAGTGTTTACGACCTGATAACGTCATTGCTGAGTCGCTTTTACCGCAACAGGGCAACCGATGGGATTCTCTACTATCTGAGCACCTTATCTGCAGCTTCCCTGCAGAACCTGGTTGTAATGGAATTGGCCATTTAAGTGGACCACTCGTTACAGGCTCACTATATGCGAAGAGCCCTGGTTCATTCTATCGTTGCCAATAGTGCCAATAACAGCTGCAATGACTTCGATCTAGAATGATTACTGTAGCACCAGTTCAACAACTGGAAGATGTCATGCTCATTCGGTCATGACTCCGTAAAAAATTTCGTTTAGGCGCTATAGCTTGACGAGTGATTGGCTGGAAGCGATATCTTCTACATCTTTCCACTATACGCCGTACACCAGTCAAAAGCCTAGTCACCGGATGTTCAGCATAAATTATGGCGAAGTTACTGTAACACACATACAGTAGTATCATTGGCATGTATTCCTGTACGTGATGTTTTCCCTACGTCTTGCCTTATTCCTTCGTTTCATAAAATATATGACCATTTCCTTTGTTTAGAAAGCATTGGATGGAGAAGAAACCAGTCTTCCGTGATATTCTACTGATCAGGGCAGCTCCAAAGCAGGTATTCATTAAGAATTGTCGGGTTGATTGTTGTTTCTGAGCCTAATCTGATAATAAACGTTTAACTCTTGAGAGCTGTATAGGCGTTGGATGGAAGATTTTTGTTTTGATTTGCGTATTCTCTATCCCACTTCATCCCGTCTTGGAATTTGCCGTAGAGGGGAAGAGACACTCCATGTTGGCTGCTTAAATGGAGAGGGTGGGGGGGCGGGGGGGGGAATCGCGCTAATCTCGCGAAATCTTTTCGGTTTAACTTTTTCTCGCTTATACACCCCCCCCTTATCCTTTTTGGGAAAAAAAGATTGTGTGAACGTGCAATATATTCTCACCAAGGGCATGGGAGCTGGACAAAAGCAGACGTCATAAAGAGACAATCGGTAAGGAGATTTTTGTGAAGTGTCGGAGGGACGTCTGAAAGGACCAAAGAAGGCGCCAAAAAAAAAAAGGGGGGAATGGAGCTCATTCGTGGCAGGGTAAAGTCGTGGAGTACTCAGAAATCAACACTGTCGGTCAAGATCGATTCTCTGCTGGACATCGGGCTCTTACAAGGGAGGTCGTTCAGGCCGTGGTGAGCTTTTTCAAAACGGTTTGTTGCATGTTGTAGGGGTCTATGCGAGGACCACTGCGATGGGGTTCATTTTTGCTAACGGTATTGGAATGTCAAAAGAGCGTCAAAAATATTCGAAAGAATGGACTTTTAAACCACCTTGATTCGGCCTCTGGTCCAGCTGTAGCGTTGAGCCAGATATGTATGTAGGGTATCCTTATATGAGTAGGATGAAAACAGCCCAAAATAGGTCAAATCAAATGGCTTTACTTCGGAATGTACGTGAGTGCATTGGAGGTTTTCCAGTGCATTGGTTGTTTCAACAGGTTCATATCTTTCGTCGCCAGCGTATTTTGGTGTAGTGGATAGCGTGACGGGCTCTCATTCGGTGGGTTTATGGATCGAATCCCCTTGGTGGCACATTTTTGCATTTTTCAGATTTCTTGCATCTTGTATTCCCGAATGCCCCATAATGTGTATGACCCGGATATACGCCATTTAAAGGCACATTCCATGCGGGAACAGTTCACAACGGGGCCTCACTCAATTGTTACGCTCGCGAAATACTATCGAAGAAACTCACTATTGTTGGAAACTTGGGTTACGGCGGTTATCCGATGCTCTGATCATGAACATGACACTCATTTTTGAATATGGCGCAATGTGTCGCCAATTTGGTGCAAAGGCTTTCTCGTACTAGCCGTTTGTTAGTCTGCGCGGCGGGGCTTATTTAGTGCCATACTGGTCCCAGATGGCCTCCGTGCCAAAAATAAGTGTCAGAACCGTGATCAGGACCATGAACTATCCCTACGTATAGAGTTACGTCGGAAAAATTTTTTTCCGAGTTTTTTGTGTTATGGTGCCTGCCATGTCTCCAGCTAGTGGCTATCAGTTCCCCCCCCCTAAAGAGTCATTATTTAACATCGTTAAGAGGGGCTTTTCATTTGTTAGTATGCAGACGAGAATTAACAGCCACACAGAACAGTGAGGCACATACACTGCACACCACTAATACCTTTGATATGGGAGAACAAGATTTTTTTCGGGCAGTGGGGTTAACGGTTCTTTTGTCAAAATTGTCGGAATCGGTAAAGTGGAGAAGTTTAGGCATGCTCGGTTTAATGGACTCCGAAGGCCGCGCGATGTCTATAATGTAAAACCTACTGAAGTTGAGAGTGCAAGAAATGAAAAATTTCTGGTGGTTTGTATGCCAGAGAGGATACCCAATGGTGGTTCGCCTGTCACTGCCATCCAAATGGTCAAGTCCATGACCACCAAAAACTCGAAAAAAATTTTCGCTGAAACTTCTTAAATAGGGGTAATCAATGGCCCTGATCACGATTCTGACAATTATTTATGCGCCGACGTGATCTGGGGCCAGCGTGGCGCTAAATGGCCACTGCGAGCGCGAAGGGATGCTGATAAACTAAAGAAAACTGCGGTATACTCACTGTATGCAAAAGTAAGCACTTCATTTCGACCTTATTTTGATATTGTTTTTCATGTCTAGTTGAGGAACACTTTATAAACTCTATGTATTCTGCTTTACAGCTGAAACAGATGCGAATGAGATGATAAAACTTGTATATTTTGAGCGATTTGTTTTTATTCCTTTTTTGGCATTCCCAATAGCGTTTAGCAAATGGACCCACGTGTGTGGTCTTGTATGGACCCTCTACAGCAACCCAATGTTTTGAAAAAAGCTCCACGGCCTGAAACGACTCCCTTGTTAGTTAGTTCGTCTGAAACCTCGAGATCGCGGCAAAGACCTGCGCAGCGGGTTCGCAAGTCGGTTTCACCGAGATTTATTCAGTTCGCGTTATGCTCGAGATCAACTGCTACTGGCCTCTTGTTGGCGCTGGTTGGCAACGAGGGGAGGGCGGGGGGAGGAGGCTTTTGCGCTTTTGCTAATTTCATTCGACGATGTCGACCTATTGACAGGTTCTCTCTTGCGTTGAAGAATTTTTCACACGATGGTTGTGTCGCACCTTGTCAGCTCCACAAGTGTTCACAGGTTTCACCAGAGCGAGACTTGTAAACCGGAACTAGGGAAGCAATAATAGTACAGGATGCCTCCTTTTCCCTCCCCGCCCGAAATGCGCCCACTCTGCGAGCTGCATGTCCGTGACTCGTGGATGACGATATATATCCGTCTAGACCAATGTTTGCAATATGAATTCGAATGAAAGTCAACTCCAACACCCACCAACAACTTGAAATGCTTCATCAGGAGGCACGATTAATGCGGATGTATGATCATAGGTTGGTAATCTAGTCGGTTCGCTGCAGACGCAGGGGCGTGTCAAGGGAGGCAGGCTTAGCGCTCGTTTCCCACCAACTGCTGTCGCTGGCCTGCTTCAGCTATCTAGAAGGGATTGGTAACCGAGCCAACCCAGCCCCTGACACGCCCCAGCGTCCGAGCGAAACACTATGACGACAGACAGCAGTTAGCTGATAAAGGCATAATGTCTAAATTCCATTTGTTTTACAGGAATTTGGTTAAACTCCACGGATTAGTCTTCAGCGAAAGCGACGTAATGGTGGTGATGGAGCTGGTCAGCGGTGGAGGTTTGAACACGTACCTGAAACAGAAAAAGGTACATAATAAAGACTAGTAAAAAGAATGGGTAGGCGCGTAAGCTGCCCACACTCCTAATCCCTGAGACGGAGTAGGCGTGGCATTCTGACATGGCATAGGATGGGTTGCTGGTGGGATATTTCAACTTGAGAACTTGAGACGACTGCCATCTTGTTCTGTGGTGGACAGAGACATGACCACAATTGTTTCAAAATGAAAATATCTCACCAGAAGCACAGCCACCGCCACGTTTAGTTGAAGTACGCAGCCACGCCTACCCCATCTTAGGATTTAGAGTGTAACTTATGTTAGGGACATGTGACGTGATGAGGACGCAGTCTGCCCTGCATTGGTGATCGAAGTGGTGGTAATTCAACGATGCTGCCTCCACCTTTTTTGGTGTTACGACAAGAAGGCGCTAACGTACAGTCCTCATCATTACGGACTGTCGGGGCGGCACAGCCGCGCTGCAATGTGACGCGGCTGCGGCTCGGTGACGGCGAATCAGCTGATTTCCATGGAATTCGGCTGCGAATTCCCACTTTTTCAACTCTTCAAGCTTCGAAAGTGGAAGGTGAGTTATTCTGACAATTTTAAATTGTACTGACTCTGAATGAATCTGAAAGAATGTAAGCCATTTGAATAAATGCCTGAAATAAGGCAAAATACAAGGAAAAGAGCATAATAATCGACAATAAAAACTAAAGTAAATTAACGACCAGCTACAATTATTATTGTTCACCAATAACTCACCTTCCATTTTATCGAAGCTGAAGAGCTAAAAAAGTGGAATTTACAGTCGAACCATCGGAAATTATCCGATTACCCGTCCACCGAGCCGCAAGCCGCTGTCGTCCCCTGGTCACATTGCACACGCTGATGTGGCGCCGCGCACAATCCTAGTGATGAGGACTGTAGTAGCGGAAAGGGGCAAGGGGAGGGGTCACTCAGCCAACGCATCCCCCATACGTATTGAGTTTTTACCAATAAATTGTACACTTGCTCTCAGCTCCAGAAGCTAACAACCATGCTGTTTTAGCTGATGCCGTTGATGAAGGCGAGCTTCTGCTACGATATTGCTGCTGCTCTAGCATATTTACATGCAAATAACTGTATGCATCGGTAAGTGAGAAGGAACCATTTCCGAAACGATTGTGTGCTCCTTCAGTTTAAACAAACACTTATCGAATTGCATGTTCGTAATAAAGACGTTCTATATGACATGACTCGTCGGGTTAGTGGACTTTCGAAGCAGAAAAAAAACGGCAGAGATTCGTTAGTGAGTACTTGCAAAATGTCCCCTCAATTCAACTCAAACGCGTCGCCTAACCACTCCCTTAATACGAGTTTTGGGCCCTGTCGTTTCAAAACCAGAGAAGTGAGTTGTGCCGTACAGGCGCATAACAAAGCCGAAGCAGTGTATGTTTCAGAAAGCGGTGAATTGCCCGTCTGCGTCTTTATTTTTCCAGTATTAATTATCGGGCGGAATCAAGAAGTTTGTCCTGCCTTTTGGAGAGGTACGCAGGCGATGTTTGATTCCGTTTTGGGCCCGCTGAAATAATTGATACACGCCTCGGAGCACTACTGCGCGCTTTCAGATAGGTTGCGAGCCTGGCATATCCCGAAGTGATTTATGGGGGTCGGTCAAGAGGACACTACTAGTCCCCTTTTGTTCATAACCTATAGGAAAAATGACTGAATGAGGAGATTCCCCCCCCCCCCACCCCGAGTCTGTTTAAAGCCGAGGAATTGCTTCACGATAACATTGTTAACAGAGATATAGCAGCTCGAAAACTGCCTCTTCACCACTGATGGGCGATGGATGATCAAACTCTTCCGATTTGGACTGGCAGTTCACGGAAGCCGTATCAAGTTGTCATCCACTGAAAAAGTTCCGATCCGATGGTGGGTGATGACAGGCTTTTCGCTCAAGGAATTCAGAAATGGTCGTTGCTCAATAGAAGAAGTCGTTAGAAAACGAAAGCTCTTACGGTTACCACTTGAACGGATGTGAAAGTCGTGCTCAGGGGGAGGGGCAGGTTGCGACGAGGCAAATTTTAGCTTGCTGCAGACCTCGGAGAATAAGGGGACCTACGGAATAAGTACAATGGATTTCGTCCCACTCCGACGGAGCAATGCCAAGATGGAAATGGAATGAGCCCACCTACTACCATTGGTTGTTTTCTACTTGAACCGGCCACTATTGGTAGAAAACGCAGCCGCAGTTAGCTTCATTCAACGCTTCTTGGCACCGCCCCCCGGTGATATCAACTAACCCTTAGAAGACCGTGTACGCATTCAGGCAAGCTCCAGAAGTGTTTTTCTATCACATGTACCTGCGTGAAAGCGACGTTTGGTCATACGGTATGCTAATGTCTGAGATCTACAACGATGGTAATGTACCTTTCCACGATAAACCTCTCGCTGAGATCCGATCAAAGGTGAGATCTCGTCCATATGGGGTACTTTTCATACCTTATTACTTCTATTAAGATCTGTGACCCAAAGTTCCGTCCATCCGTTCCGCCTCTCCCCAACTATCCAATAATACCGAAAGTGAGTCATTCTATTCCTGGTACGGTTGAATCATCGAGAGCACTTCGAGCGTTCGCGTTACAGATGTGGGCTCCTATTTTCGTGAAATGCTGTGCTTGGAATAATTATAAACCTGCACATTTTTGCAACACCGCCGATTACTTTCCCTTAATAAAACACTACCTTCGATGATAATCTTTTCCAAAGAAGAGTTGGGCAGATCCGCAAAGCACGCCTAAGACACGCAACACGCCGCAGGGCAACCACGCAACACGCCGCAGTGCAACCTACAAGTAGCCGGATGCGCTGCTTGTCTGTGCCCTCTTGCGTTTGGCTGTGGAGCTGATGCTCTCCAGAGCTCACATT